TACCAAACTCAAAATTGACATAATAGACCAGTTTAGCCCCCTCAACTCCATTTTATGCCCCTCCTGACTCGTACTCCATTTTTTTTCAATCATGCACTAAAGGAGAAGTATATGCCCGACAAAACATATGAAATGAATGTAATATAGATTGGCATCTGTGTCCATCTCTTAAACCGGGAAATTCCTAGTTCTAGAATGCATTATGCATCAAAGACAGTGGGGTTTCCTCGAGAAGCAGTGAAGCCAACCGATTGTTGAAGAACTTACTAACAAGACATCAAAGAAGCCGAGGTGATTGTCTGCTTGGAGGGTCTGTGATCATGTGCGGAATGCATTAGACTGCCAACCTATTTTTCAATCGGGTTGTGCCCTTATAGTGAATGCACCAAAGTTAGGCCTGGAGGACTGGTCGGCCATTCATCAAGTCGGTGTTGAAGCAAGTATCGTGCTCATTCAAATGCCAACCTAAAAAAATTCAAAGGTTTGGAGCGAGTGCGATGCTTTTTTCTCAGAGATCACCATCAACATAATGTTGTAACTCATAATTTAGCCAAGTAGTGAAAGCGAACTACATATATTTTGCTATGCGATGTGATGTCCCCTCAATTGCGTTTGATAGCTCGCCGCCAACAATTGTATCACCTATATCTATATCTATACCACTATATGGTGTACAAATGACTTTGAAAACAATTGTTGGATGAAGCTGATCCGACGGTAGAGACGTGGCAAGTCCGAGTGTTGTTGACCATTGGATCCTCTCATTACTTCACCAGATTCCGCCACATGTACTATCTAGAAGATTCCATGCTTGAGCTTAAGCCAGGACATTTTGCACAAAACATAAGGCACACTTCTTCTTTATTCTACACTCTTCCATACTCAGACGTTCTTAACTTCTTTTTTCTAGCTTGTGGGATTTGCAATGTCTTTTCCCTAATGTCCGTCGTCGCATTAAAAAGTAACACACCTGAGTAACCACATATAGCATGCCGATCGGCAAGCAGCTGATGTACGTGCACACTTCTGGAGCACCGAAAAAAGGATGGAAAAACAGCGCCCAGCCAAGACAAAAATAAAAATGGTAACGATTTGTTGCCCGGGCAGAGATGAGTTCACGAGAGGTAAACCACACGGAACTGGACCAAAGCCGGCTAGATCAAGTTGACCCGAAACTGGATTCGTCCTTCCCGAACGGAGCACATTCCACAGCACCAATACGGAAGCGAAGCGAGCAGGGAAGCCCCCGGCCGGCCGGCTTACGCGCAATTGCCCATACCACACACATACGCTAGCGCTACGCTCCCAGGCAAAAATTAACGCACGCGCTCAGCCTCATCCCCTCCTGTCTGCGCAAACTACGGTAACATACACGACCGGGTCGGGTTTCAGGTAGGAATATACGGCCGCCGATGGATGGATGGGTCGATCGGACGAGCTCATATGGCAACGAGGCGCTTGCCCGAAACCACAGCGACCCGAGGTTCCCCCCGGAAAAGCCCCCCGCTTTCCTCCCCACATCTGTCGAGCCCCGACTCGTCCACCAACCCGAATGCCCACGGGAGAGAGAGAGAGAAAAGGAGGCGCGTGTGTGGTCAGGGATGGCCGCATCGTACGCACTGTGCGTGTGAGTCGGGCGGGCCACGCGCTGGATTTGACGGGCGATCGAAAAGGTGGCGAGCGGGGTGGCGTGTACGTAGCGGCCAGCGCGGGGGGACAGCGACGGGGCAGGGGCGACGGAACGGGGGAGGAGAGAGAGCGCGCGCTAGGGTTTCGCGTCTCGCACCTTGCCGGAAACGGCAATGGTGGGGCGCAGCGCCCTAATCACTCCCCACTCCCCGTCTCGCCCTGCTTTTAACCCGCCTCCCCCACCGCTCCGCCCCCATCCCGTCCGCCCCCCTCCCCCGCTTTCCCTTTCCCCTTTCCCCTCCCCCTCCAGCGCGCGCGAGAGAGCTGGGCTGAGCTTCTCGGTTGGCTGAGCTGAGCTGCGCTGCTTTGGTGGTGTGGGAGCGGTCGGGCGGCGCGTAGCCAGGAGGAGGAGGAGGAGGAGGAGGAGGGCGATCGATCTGGAGCTAGCGGTCCCGGACGCGGCGGCCGGCGGCGACGGCATGGGGCGTGGCCGGGTCGAGCTCAAGCGGATCGAGAACAAGATCAACCGCCAGGTCACCTTCGCCAAGCGCCGCAACGGCCTGCTCAAGAAGGCCTACGAGCTCTCCGTCCTCTGCGATGCCGAGGTCGCGCTCATCATCTTCTCCAACCGCGGCAAGCTCTACGAGTTCTGCAGCGGCCAGAGGTATACGCGCGCGCACACACGTAATTCCAACACCATAAAACACAAGCGGATGTGTGTACCGTGGGGTTTAGCTTGCTAGATCTGGCCTCCGCCGAAGTGTTGGGCGCTTGGGGTTTCCCTGGGGGGCTCGGACGCGGTGGATCCGTGCCCGGAGAAGCTCGATCAGGGGTGCGTGTGTCCGGCTCCGGCCAGCCGGGACTAGTTTCTTCCAGAAATTAGCTAGGGTTTTGGTTTGGGTCGCTACAGCTTGGCTTCTCGCAGGGCGAGTTCGCGCTAGATCTGCGGACCTCAGCCCCCAAGGTCGTCGTGAATCCATGGGGACTGAGAGATGGCCGGCGCGCTCTTTAGCTTCCGGTTGAATTTTGCATGCATGGGCCGGCTGGCCGGGAGCTAGTTAATTAAATCAGGGGTTTATGCCGGCTTCGATTGGCCGTCGCATGCCCTGTAGATCTCCGAGCCAACGGAGGCCGTTTTTCGTTGGATCAAATTTTACGGGTATTTGCTTCGACGGGACGGCAGGCATCGATCGCATCACGTAGACATCGGATGCGTGTGGTGACTGATGGGTGGATTGATTCTCTCTCAGCATCCCTAGCTTTAGCCATCTTGTTGCACGGAAGATCGAGGCAAAACGGTTACTGTATGGATGTCTTGTCGCTGGTTTGCTGCGGTTTTTCTGGAATGGTGTCTTTTGGATTTTTGGGCTTTCATGTGAGTTGTGGCTGCCCCATGTTAAGTGAGATCAAACTTCATATATATTGTCTTTCTCTCTTGCTACTGGTAGGGATGATTTTTTTTTGTTGAGATTTTCTTGTCAATTAATATAGGAGATAGTTCCTAGAGAAACACAATGGATGATCCAAACGTGTTTCTGCATCTTTGATTTCTTTCAAAATCTGGTGTTCAGCTGTCAGACAAGCGCCCATAGAGTCTGTTTACATATTGACTTTTTTCCCCCGCAAAAATAAAAAACACTAGCGTGGGTGGTATCGAATTAAATTCTCTGTTTACAAAACAGAACTGAACACATAATTGGCTAGGCGAAGATAGACAAGTTTCAGTGCACATATCGGCATGTATATAGATAGAGGTTATTCCATATCAAAGTTGCAGATTACTTAATAATATACTCTAGTTTTCAAAGGTAAATTTCTACCCCTACAGTTCTTTTTTTTTTGTGAATGATTACTCCTACAGTTTGTACACAGCTAAGTCGGTGCGATCCCTCAACCAGCATGAAAAGAAGACATGAGAATGCCATATTAATTGGAATGTTTCTATCTAAATAAGAAAGATAATTTAACAATATATCAGTGTCTCCCTAGCCAATTACTGGGACTTTTTCCCCTCGCCAAAAATAAAATAAAATAAATGCAGGCATGCGACCTACTAGTATTAATGATCTTAACTAGAAGAATCTCAGTTCAAAACAGTTCTGTTTCTTTATGTAACTAGAAGAATCTCAGTTCAAAACAGTTCTGTTTTTTTATTTAAGAGATGACAATTCTAGTTTTAAACATGGATGAGATGCATGGTTTGTTTGATGATGGACACATGATTTCACATGAATAGGACTCAACCAAGTAGCTTTATATATTATTTAAGATCCCTTGATAGGTTGTTTTTCTATCATATTTGAAAGAGGCCCGTAATTTATTTTCTATATATAATCCTATGTATGCCTGAATTAATTACCTAATCCTATGTATAGAGACACGGAGTATGGCTGTCACTGTTTCACTAGCCATAAACTTATAGTAAATTCCCAGTAATTGGCCTATTTTATTTGAGTAGTTCTAATTTTCTGACAAATATGTGTTTCCATATAAGAAAAACTTGCCCTAGACTTGAATAGTGTAAGATTGTGATTGGCCGAAATTGCATGCAATATTCACTACATAGCAAGCATATGTTCTCACTACTATGGATATCATTTTTTTCCCGCTACCCATGTGATATTCTCTACTATGGCGGTCAACTTTTCACTACTCATAGAGTTTCAGCAAACTCCCAGTTGTCAACATGGTTTAGCTGAGTACTTTTTAATTTTGTCACATATACATGTTTCAATATTAAGATAACTTGTCCGAAACTTAATTAATACTCTTACATTGTATGCACCACCGTTCACTACATAACTAGTTAGCCGTATGCTTTTTGATATTATATGGTCTAGTATTAGAGTCAAAACCTTCTAATTGACATGTATCACATTCATAAATCAAGAGGGTCAAGAGTGCTGCCCAAGTTGACCTAGTTGTGGATGCACTCACCCTGCTTGGGGTTTTACATAAGGAAAAGCTATTCACACTAGAGCTTTTTCGTACTATTTGCTGGTAAGAAAAACTATTCTTGACAAACTGTATGGCCGTTCCCAAATCAGTGCCATACATCTATTGTTAAATGAGTATGTCAATAAATTAGATGTACAAGTTTTGTGAGAAAAAATAACTGATTGGTTCCTTAGCACCAAAATTTGGATGAGGTTCTAGAAAAGACTACTGTACCATGCTAACAATCAGTTACAGTTGATTCCAAATATACAAGAAGCCAAAATATGCATATTTCTAGTGTATATTTTGTGCTGTTATGGAGATTCGGTGTATTATAAGTTTCTTTCCATTACATTTAAATTTACGGAATAGAAGAGGAAAAAAATAATGCTCATTCTGCACTCACAAATTTTAGATGTATGGTGACAGTAGTTTTTTTAATTGGAATTGATTTTTTTTTGAGAGATTCACTTTAACAGGAAGCCCATCGATATCGAATCCAAGCCACATGCTAATTAACATGGAGACAAATATTGTTTTTCGTCCAGGTTATGGCACTACTGAACTGAATTAGTCCCAAAATATAACAATGAAGTTAGTAATAACTAAACACCCCCTTGACTCCTCGAATGACTCAGGGGTCAGGGCAAGGTAAAGGTACATAAGATACCTAGGACTGACTGGGAAGTACCTGCAGGGTATAATCGGTGAAAGTCTTCAGTTGTCTCTGCTCATTCATTTGTCAGCCCATCTCTCACGGCCGAGTAGTCCTTTCATTTCAACTTGCTTCTATCTACTGTACGAACTTGACGTATTATCAGATGTCCCTTCAGGCCTGTGCAGTTGCTACATAGCCAGCTAGTGCTAGAGCTCCAGTATTTTATGCTGGCAGATATCCGTAACGTCTACTGTACCTAGAATCTGCTCAGGAAGATGGCAGATATCCCACATCTTGCACGCCTCTTTCAAGTCTGGCAGTATACTAACTACTAGCATCCACTTAATTGGTATAGCGGAGAACTGAACTATTCTAGTGCTAGTTGTTCCTTTTATTTGTAGTGTTTATTTCTTGTTGTATTGAATGTTTTGTTTGTCTATTAAACATCAGGACAGTCTTAGAATACCATGAAAATAAACATTTATAAGGAGCATAAAATTATCAATATATAAAAAGATTAATTAGCGTTGCTGTTTTCTCAAAATTGTTGCCTGCAAAGTACTCGTATTGATGTAATGTGCAACCAATTTTTTTGGCCTATGTATATCCCGTAATTTCACTTAGGAAACTGGCACATATATCTTGAAAACCCACATTTTCTAACACTTGCTGTTTCGTGAACACTATTATGCTCCTTTAGTCAGTTCCTTATTCGCATTTTTTAACTTGTAGCATGCCCAAAACACTTGAGAGATACCAGAAATGCAGTTATGGTGGGCCAGATACAGCAATACAAAATAAGGAGAATGAGGTAAGTTCTGTATTTTTATTCAGATGTTGTAATGATTGATTTAATATCACAAGTGCATAAAATTAACTTGTGTTCTAGCATCCCTCTTGTCAAAAGATAGTACGAGTTGTTTACTGACATAATCCTGAAATCTTGTATGTTTTCTTCAGTATTACCATTAAACGGCCTAATTAAATAATGCATGTTTGGAACTTTGGATGAATCGCAATAAAAGTGATGTTTATAAACTACTCCCTCTGTCCTGAAATAAGTGACTCAACTTTGTACTAAAGTTAGTACAAAGTTGAGTCACTGATTTTGGGACGGAGGGAGTACTTACTAATTATTTGTGCATCTGTATATCTTATTACCTACTCAAGTATGACGAATGTTTACTGCCTAGTGCCAGCTGCCTACTTATCTCTATTTTACTACTGTGAAAAAATCTTGAAGTTCTCTGCATCTAAAATGAGAGCGTTGCAAAATGAATCATATATCTGGGAATGCTAATGAAAACATACCGTTATTGGATAATTATCTATATTTTATCTCTATGTAGTTCCAGCAGTTTTATAACCCTTTTCCTACTTCTTTCCAATGTTTTAAATAGCGGGCTATGGCATTTAGCGGCGACCCTTAGCGGCAAATTGTACATGAAATCATTTAGCAGCAACACCCTCAAACAGCTACAGCGGGGCTATAGCCAGCTATTTAAAACTATGCTTCTTTCTGAGTCCTGATGGCCACAAATAAGACTATCATTTTTTTGGGATACGCCTACCATGTATACTAACTGAAGCTGAAATTAAAACCGCTGATAAGAGAACAAAATATGAAAGGGGTGACCATTGAGTTGTCATGAAAGATCAAAATCATGATTAGTTATTTAGTTGTTTCCCCAATAGCATTGCATGTAAAATGATCTTAATTTATTATAATCCCAGGTTTTCCTTTCCTATTTTTCAGTTTAAAATGTTTAAGTTCTGTTTTGATAAAGTTTTTACTGAAGTGGCACATACTTTCAGTTAGTGCAGAGCAGTCGAAACGAGTACCTCAAACTGAAAGCACGAGTGGAGAATTTGCAGAGAACCCAACGGTAACTTAGTTATTCCACCCTGTGTTACTTTTGTAGATTAAGTGGACTCTTCTATCTTCAGCATGAAATGATTACCTTTCTGAACAAGTTTCAACAATCAGCAGAAATCAAATATGTGCATCTATTGCAGTGAAGTTAAATAAGTTCATGTGGAATAGTTTAAATGGTATTGATTAACTAATACACACTACTTATGGTGGTCCTATAATTGAATGACATTTACAGAAATTTGCTTGGTGAAGATCTCGGGTCACTCGGCATCAAAGATCTGGAGCAGCTCGAAAAGCAACTTGATTCATCCTTAAGGCACATAAGATCCACAAGGGTAATTGATTGTTTTCGAAATGATCACAATGCAGAGGCTAGGAGAATTATCTCTTTGCATTATCTACATCAGAAGTACCGATTGTTTTGTAGTAGCTTTTTTATGTTGTCCTGTAGCTTTGGGTTTTTTCTGTTTCTGTCATCTGTTGCTACTCCGTGTTAGATGATCACCAGATATATAATGCTACTGGATGGAGGGTCCGATAGCGCCTTATATTGCTTCAGTTTTAATTAAGTAAATTGGATCAGGGTATGTGCCCTGTTTGAGTAATGATGAAAATTATTGTTTTTAATCTGCAAAATATAGCTTATTACTTTCTCCTTCTTTGAAGGCAAAGTCTCAGGCTAGTATGTTTACTAAAATCTGTTTCAGAAGAAAAAAAATCTCTGCTTAGTGAGACTTTCAGCTCCCGGGTGCAGGGGCACCCTCATGAACAGTAAATGCAAAACAATATGAAAAACAAATCGAAAAAAACTGAAACTTTGGGGAATCAAATATGATCAAACATTCAACGTTCATGCAAAGTTTTAGCATCAAAAAACATTCGTGGAGCCCTCACCAAAAAAAAAAATCAGTGTTCAAAGTTATGTGTAGTTTTGAGCAGTAGTTTTTTTTTTGGTGAGGGCTCCTCGAGTGTTATTTCTGGCTGAAAATTTGCAAGAACATCAAAAGTTTTATCATATTTGATCCCCCAAAATTTCAGATTTTTTTGATTTTTTTCATATTGTTTTGAAGTTACTGTTCATGAGGGTGCCGCTGCACCCAGGAGCTGTCACACCTTTCCCTTGTATATTTCCTGTTCATTCAACTATACACAGTTTACAGCTGGATCTCTTTGATTCATCATCATTTTTTCTAGGAATGGAACAAAGAAACATTGAGACAATTTTTATTCTGTAATGCACTGCATATTCATATGTTCTACAAAACTTGAAATAATTTGGCGCTGTCAGTTTGGATATTGTTTTTCAGTTTATGCTAGTTATCATATTTTGTAACACAAAAGAATGCTGATGAAATTTAATCTTGCAGACACAGCATATGCTTGACCAGCTCACTGATCTCCAAAGGAAGGTATGTGCTCTTAACAAAATGAATTTGATCATAATTTGTGTTATAAGATTTTCTCATAGACTTATGTTCAGATAAGAAAGCTGACTGTTCCCAATGATACACTGAATAATTTTGCAGGAACAAATGCTGTGTGAAGCGAATAAGTGCCTTCGAAGAAAAGTAAGTTCACCTGTCCGTACAAATCACCCTGCTTAATTATTTTATCTTCAGAAGAAATAAATCTGGTTATGGTTGGTGTTTGCACCAACTCGCCTGAACTTAAATACTGCACGGAGCATGTATCCGGTTCTCTTGTTTTGAAGCTGAAGCCATTTTGTACTTACTTTTGAATGTTCCCACATAACTGTCGTCCGGCAGTTGCTTCTTCTGCACATGCTTGCAACCACTCCCTCACCAAGGACCATATACATACCTGTCTCTCTAAAAGGAGTAACAAACGTACTAATGCTTTATAAAGGCCAAACAGAAATCAGTTAGCATGCATGTATCAGTATATTCATGCATACCGTAGTACCACAAGCTGTTGCATATGCAGCTTTCGTACTCCTATCGTTTGCATATTTATTTGTGTTCTATACTGTAGAATCTACAAAACATTCTGGATTGCCAAGAACAGATAGATAGACCTGTTAATAAATTGCACGATTATTAGTGACATGTTATCTATTTTGCGATGAGAAGCTGGAGGAGAGCAGCCAGCAGATGCAGGGCCAAATGTGGGAGCAGCACGCCGCCAACTTGCTCGGCTACGACCAGCTGCGACAGTCCCCGCATCAGCAGCAGGCGCCACACCACGGCGGCAACGGCTTCTTTCACCCCCTGGACCCAACCACTGAGCCTACACTTCAGATAGGGTATGCGCTTGCTTGTACCAGCCTGGTCAGATATATAGGAGTAATCAAAGATCCGTTGCTGACCTTTTCGTACGTCTAATTTCCTTCAGGTATACCCAGGAGCAGATAAACAACGCATGCGTGGCGGCGTCGTTCATGCCGACATGGCTGCCCTGAAGATCGACGATCCAACCAACTAATAAATGTGCGACGGTGCTTGCACAACCGTCGCATTCTACCTACGTACCTACGTATATTCCGGGGCCGGGAGCGACTACTATCGCGTTCGCGTACGTCCCATAGTTTGTTCTGTGTCTCTGTTGTGTCCTTGTGTGAAAAACTTTTGTGATCGACAATGATCGACGTCTATGTCAAAACTGTCTGGTACAAAGGGCCGTCCGTACGTCGCCGTTACCATAGGCTGGCTAGCTGCAGCATAAAAAGACGTATAGTGCAGTGCCTGTACGTTTCATAATTTCCAGTCCAGCTACATGTAGCTGTATGATGTTGTGATATTATCAACTGAGTGTGCTATATATAAATGCAAAATATGCAATTGCATTATTGAAGTTCGGTGCAGGCTCGTACGTACCTACGTATGTGCACTGGATCTCTAGCAAGCAGGAATTGTGCGTTGAAGTGAAGCATGCATGTAGCTAGGCTTATGTGTCACCAAAGTTCTATGTGTTTCAGGCATTAATTTGTTCCCAAGCAAAGGGCCGTAATCCATGATGCAAACTTGCCAAGGAGCAAATACATCGTGTACAAAGCATGTAACCTTCTGGAATGGGTGACAACACAAGGTGCACCTACCCCTCTTTTACCACTCACATATGCTCCAAAAACTTCTAGCTCAAAAGCAAGCTACCTTGCTTGCGTTTCATTCGTTAAACGGTAGCTTCCGCGCCCTTCCCGCTGATTCAGTTGATGTGAATGATCGTGTCTTCAACATCAATTTTAGTCTGATTAGATATGTCATTGAAAAAAACCCTGTTTTGTCTTTGTATTTTTTTTCCTTTCCAGATGATGAGGATGAAAGGGTCCAGCGCGAGTGGTGAGATCATAGGCTGGTGGTTCTGCGGGAGTTTGAGAGGATTCAGGTTAGCAGGTTTTAGTTTGTTAGATGTAGGTTTCAGAAAAGACCGGATCTAAATGCTCATGATGGACTTGGATAGAATGGAAGAACTAGGAACTTGAGATGAAAAGGAAGGAAATGTTTGTACAAAGGACTTGCCGAGTTGGCAATTTCATGAGATCGTCCTATTGCGAGCAATCAAGGGCATTTTTCAATTAATTAGATATTTTAGAAAACCATCAGATCGGGATGCTCAGGACGGGCTTAGATTGAAGGAGGCGAACAAGGAGATTGAGCAAAAAAGTAGGAAAGACCTTCTCCAAAGAGTCAATAAGCCAATGGCTTCATGCATACCGACCTTTTATTGCCAATGGGGGTGGTCATAGAGCACGGCTAGGAGGGCAATAGCCATGGGCTAGGAGTTCGAGCTAAATGAGTCAAGTGGTCTTAACAATTCAAGGAGCTCATGAGTTTCGAGTTTTAATTCCAACCCTAACTCATGTTTAAACATCCAAGTGCATAAGAGAGCACATGTGCACTACTGCACCAATTGTTGTTGAACTTCACATTGTGTGCCATCCCTTGGCGCATCATAGCCAGCCGATCCAGCCCCCTTCTCAGCCCTCGATGCCTCACACTTCAAGTGATCAAGGAAATTTTGATAACTAGAGGTTTCAGAAGGTGGTCGAATCAGGACACTAATGTGGAGTTGAAAAAGGGAAAAACTAGGAAGTTGACATATGCTAATATTTTCTAACAAGTTTGTACAACCACTAGTAGATAAAGGGCCTTTAGTCCCGGTTCTGGAACCGAGACTAAAGGGTCATTACTAAAGCCTCCCCTTTAGTCAACACCAATCGGGACTAAAGGAAATTTTATGATTTTTTTTTTGAATTTTTTTATTTTCAAATTTCTAAAATATGTTAACCTCTAATCTCTAATCACCCCTCACCACTGCTCAATTTAACCTCTAATCTCTAATTACCCCTCATCATTCCAAATCATCTAACTTCCCAGACGGTCACCCATCCTCTCACTACTCCAGCCTGAGCACGCTTAACTTCCGGGTTCTATTCTCCCTCGTTTCCAAGTCTACATTTGTTGTTTTCCTGACAATAGTAAGATGTCAATCCTATTAACCCTCAGGAATTTAGCTTCAGCATGAAGTCACACATTTTACTGTTTGAGTTTGAAACTATTGTTCTAAAAAATAATAATTATTTAGTAACACTAATATTTCTTGAATAAGTAGTTTGACCACAGTTTGACCATAGTTTGACCACAGTTTGACCAATGTTTGACCAGATTTGACCAAAATTCAAAAAAACTGAAATAATTATGTAGTAACACTAATATTTTTTGAATAAGTAGTTTGACCATTGTTTGACCACAGTTTGACCAGATTTGACCAAAATTCAAAAAAAACTGAAATAATTATTTAGTAACACTAATATTCTTGAATAATTATTTAGTAACACTAATACTTTTTGAATAAGTAGTTTGACCAGATTTAACGAAAATACAAAAAAACTGAAATTTGAGCATAACTTTTTTTCCTTTTAGAATTTGAGGATTCTAAAAATTTGCAAACAGGTCGTAGGCTGTCAAAATCGGATGCGGATTTTCGTGCTGAACATTTTGATATATTATACGTTTTTTTTCGACATCGTATGCAAAAGTTATAGCCGTTTTACGTTTTCCCTGCACTTTTTGCAAAACATGTCCAAATTTAAGTTTTTAAATTTTCCTAACTAGTAGATGTAGTAATATAACTACCTCTCGAAGGATTTTATTTTTTGAAGTTTTTATCATTTCCTTTTGATTTTTTTAAAACAAAAAAGGCGATCCACGGTGGGGGGGGGGGGTAGAGTTTGAAAATGGGACCTTTAGTCCCAGTTTGAGACACAAACCGGGACTAAAGGGCATCGCACCCTTTAGTCCCGGTTCGTGTCTCAAACCGGGACTAAAGGTCTAATCTTTAGTCACGGTTTGAGACACAAACCGGGACTAAAGGGCATCGCACCCTTTAGTCTCGGTTCGTGTCTTAAACCGAGACTAAAGGGCTCGGGTGAACCGGGACTAATGCCTTAGCCGCACGAACCGGGACCAATGCTCACATTAGTCCCGGTTCGTGACTGAACCGGGACTAATTTGAATATTGCCCTGTGACCAAAGCCCTGTTTTCTACTAGTGAACCATTTTGTAACGAGCATGATGTTTTTGACTTCGAGGTCCTAAACCCCAAAGCCCCATGTTATTTTTGGCAACAAAGCACACTACAGTTGGCGAGGCGGTATTTTCACTTCTTGGTGTCACTTTGCCGGAAAATATGGAACTAAAGTAATCAAATCTCCAAAGCACTTATTTTGGCACTTCAAATAAAGACATCATACACACAACATATTGCTAAGAGCATAGTTGATTACAACAATCTATCCACATGTATACAAGTGCTCTACTTTCCAACTATGGACCCGCTTCCCAAGTCTCTCTTTGACATGCTTCCATTCCACAATTCGGGGTTTACGAAAATGGATTGGAATAACTTAGGCTTCTAATGTTAAACCATCTGGGTTGACAACTGAAAATCTTAATGTAGTACATTTCAACTTCATAGGCTTTGCCAAACTGGAATAACTAGCTCTTATATGGACATTGTTGTTAAGGCTAGCAAGATGCACAAAAGGGAAAACCACCACTTTGAGATTTTCTGATTTCTTAATATCATGATCCATAAAGAGAATTGTGTCTTCAACCTATTGTAAGATGGACAACCTTCTGGCTTGGTCCACTCCACAAGGATTGAAAAGCATAACTGCCACATTATCGAAGATGATGTGGGATAACGAATCCTCCTGACAAAGACCCTTTTTTGTCTGAAAGTTGTGACTATAGTCAACATTGACTTTAATGGTCATGCCAGCTAGAGAGACAAAGTTATCAATCCACCTACACCACTTTTGTGAGAGGCCTTTCATTTTTAAAGCCTGCTAAAAAGACTATTTAACTTTATCATAGGCCTTTTCGTATTAGGTTTTAAAAATGACCCTACTCAACCTTTGCATGTGCGTCTCAATTTTATGTAAGAAACCACCCTGTCTACGTCGCTTCTGCCTTGCATTGAAGTCGAGTACATGGGTTGAACCATATGATCTTACAGACCCAACAACATTGGAAGATTTTGGAACACTTATACTTGCAACTTTTTTTCCATAAAAGAAGCAGTGAGAAGGACATTTTCGACAACATAGACCCAAGTGACATCATTTATTGTAGATTCATCCAAGGAGAAATTACTTCCTTCTGTTGCTCTAGACAGACCTTTATAATACTTCATAATGATAACCCACATCATGAGATCGTCTAGCTGAAGAAAACATCTAGACCCCTAATGTTTTTTTATGTATACGGAAGTACTATTAATGTCGTTTATCAAGCGTACCCATGGGGCAATGGTTCATAAAAAAGTATGGAGATGGTCCATCCCTCTCCACATCCCCAATTCCAACAAGGAAAGGAAAAACTGAACGATTTGTGTAAAGACTCAATTATTTGGGGGTTTTATTTGAGTCTTAGAGAACCCACACTATGAAGAGGGTTTGATGTGGTGCGTAGTGTGGAGATCATGTTCCATACATCTTATAGAAAAGCCCCCCCCCCCCCCACACACACAACCTACTCAAAGTTAAACTCACTAATTCAACCTTTGCATTGACCCCAGGTATCCATGGTACAGGGGTCGGGTCTCCGAGGTTCAGCAGTTTCGCCGTGTGGATACCATGGATCTTTGGGATCCCTGACCCTTGAGTCTCTAGGATTCATATGATTTGCTCTTTGGATGGCCCGGGTCTATGAGGTCCCCAAGCCCCCGGGTCTCTGGGGTGCGTGTGGTCTACCCTCTAGATAAAGTACGTCTCCGAGCCATTCCGGCCCTAGGCCTCCGGGGTACCTCGGGTCCACGGACTTCCAACGGTTGGATTGGGTGGATGGGGTATAAATATACATCCTTCTTATGCCTCTAGACCCAATCCTTCATTTGAGTTGCTTCACCACTGCCAAACCTCTAAAAGCTCATCTCCCTTTTATTCTTCCAACGAAACCCCACAAAACTTTTAGGATTGAAAGATGAACCATCGATCTACACTCCCACCAAACCGAATCGTGATTCAGCTACACAGTCATCACCAAAATTGTTACTCTTGGAGATTTGGTACTCCTAGGAAGTAGGAGTCTTAATTTCCCGGAAGCGGTCTCGGATGTGGTGTGCTCCGGCGAACTTTGTAAAGGTCGGGTGGTCACCTTGAAGGCCAACCACAAGTGACTTGAGGCACCTCCATTGGCGATTTGGGTTGGTTGAAAGGAGAAAAGGGTGAGCCATCAGTGGCATTCGAAAAGCTTTGGCTCTCGCACCTTTCCAACATGGTCTCTGATCTCTGTCCTTGCTATCCCATAGCAGAAGAGGCGGTCCACAACCTAGAGCGAGGGGCCAGTCTTAACGGCGAGGCGCCCCCCTCTGGAGATGGCTCAGTGTGCGTGGTACTACGATGTGTGGTGGTCTTGCAAGGTGGCGTAGTTCCAACATTGTTCGATAGTCACTTTTGTTGTATGTTAGAGATTGTATCTCATGTGTTTGTTTCTACACTCAGTATTGGGTTGGCGGGACTTGTGCCATTTGTCCGGATGCCGTTTTATTTTACTTCCGACCTACTTGCTTACAGATTTCTCATCACTTTGTATCGGTTCGGTCGTTTGGGCTTTATATATAAAGCTAGGCGAAAGGCTGTTTCGAGAATTTATCATGAACCGACTGACATTAATACATCCGTAGACAAACTCAAAGATTTTAATGGAATAAAATAATAAATTAATACACGGTGTACACAAAAAAATATCGACTGTATGTACCTTGTATACTTTTAATACGGATAAATGAAATAAAAACCAACCCTAGTAAGATCAACCTTTATTTTGTAAATGAAATGACAACTTCAACTTTTTTTTTAAATGATAACTTGCACCCGGTCCGATCAGTGCAGCCCCTTGGATTGACCACAACCCATGATGGACGATGGCAGCCGGCCGACCCTCTCGACGCCCTCCTCGAAGACCACACCCATGCCCATGAACACGTGCGCCTCCACGTGGCAGTGGAACAGCCACACCCCCGGGTTGTCCGCCCGGAACCGCACCGCCGTCCACCCATCCGGGTGCAGCGGCACCGTGTTCTTCATGATCGGGTCCCTCACGTTGAGCAGCCTCCAGGCGTCCGCGGCAGGGTTGAACTTACCTTCGCCGTGGCCGAGCACCCAGAAGTCGTGACCATGGAGATGCCACGGGTGCGTCTCGGTCTTGTTGTTGAGCGCGTTGGAGTTCTGCAGCACCACGTCCACCACGGAGCCGAGCGCCAGCCGGTACACCGGGCTGCCCACGGTCCCGTTCGTCGGCGCCGGCGCGGAGATGTCGTGGCTCATGTGGTCGTACATGTCGGGCGGGGGGCGCTGCTCGTACGCGTCTTTCATGCCGCGTTTCATCGCCACGAGGTACGGCGTGGCCGGGAACATGAGGGACACGCCATTGATAGTCCACTTGATGTGGCCATCGATCCGGTTCTGGGTGTTGAGGAGGAGCAGCGTGCGGTCGGCCCTCGCCGGCATGGGCTCTACGAAGCGTGGGTGCGCGAAGATGGCCCTGCTCTGCTCCACCCTGATAGCCGTGTTGTTCCATGCCGGGCCAGCCGGTGGCGCCGTGGGCGGAGGCATCCACGGGTTGTTGCCGTTGAAGGCGTAGCTGACAACGGCCTTGCCGCTGGGTGTCTGGCTGGGGTTGCGGCCAACGACGTGGGACGCAGCCCAGTAGTTTCGCCGCGGGTCCTGGTCGGCCTTGACCAGCACGGAGTACGTCTCGCCGGAGTAGATGAAAAGGCCCCTCACGGCGAACGGCCGCACGTAGTGCCCGTCGGCCTCCACCACCATCATCGGGTGGCCCTCGATCTCGAAGTAGAGCGAGGAGAGCGAGGTGAGGCTGCCGATGCGGAGGAGGTATGTCTTCCCCGGCACGGCGGTGAAGAGAGTCGGCAGAGCGCAGTCGGGGCGGGAGGCGTTGCACGTTCCACTGGGAGCGAGCGAGCAGTTGAACATTCCTCGGCCGTTGATGAGGAGAGACTGGGGCTCGGTGACGAAGACGAAGGGGTTGGAGGAGAGGCCCGTGGCCTGCTCGTAGACGCTCTTGTGCCACCAGTCGCCGAGGAGGACGGTGTGCTCCTCGTCGTAAGAAAAGGGCTCGACGAAGCCGTCCGGCACGGTGACCACGATCATGCCGTTGAGCCCCGCCACGCGCTGCATCCCGTAGTGCGCATGGTACAGGTACGTGCCAGGCTGAAAACACACAAAACACATTGACAAATGAGAATTTTGCGATCATGCGTTGACAAAGTAAAACAAGTCTTGCAATGTAATGTATGCTGCTAAGCTGCTTACTCTGTCGACGACGAATTTGTAGGTGAAGGTTTCGCCGGGCAGGATGGGGCACTGCGTGACGCCGGCGACGCCGTCAGCCCACGGCGTGCCAGTCTGGCGGATGCCGTGCCAGTGGATGGCGGTGTTCTCGGTCTCGAGCTTGTTGTGGACGGCGACGACGATGGTGTCGCCCAGCGTGGCGCGGATGGTCGGGCCGGGAGCCTCGCCGTTGACGGTCACCGCGAGCTTCTCGAAGCAGTCGGGGGACTTCAACTGGTAGGAGATGTCCCACTCGTAATGGTGCTCCTTGGCCTCCGCCACGGCCACCAGCAGCCAGACGCAGAGGACGGCGGCGGCAGCGAGCAGTGGCCTCGCCGACGGTGGCATCGTGCCGGCCGACGGCCGTAGCACCACACAGCTGCTTCGTTAGTTGCACTGGCGCTGGCTGTGGAGTAAAGCAAGAAGAAGCCACCCGTTGCGTTGGACTAGTTCGATCGAGCAGGTGTGGCGTGTGTGTGGTCGTTGCTCTAGCACACACGCGTTATATATAGGCTGTGCATAGCGCGAGTGGATGATGATGATTGGAGCGAATCGTTCCAAGGGAGGCGAGTTCAACAAGCACGCGGGGCCGCCGGGGTGGCAACTTAGCTGAGGATGACGAGACAACTATTGAAATGCAACTTGCAAGTATATATCTGAAGCACGTTGATGAATCACGGCCTCTGCCCGATGGCTGCAGTGCAAGCAACCAAACACACATTACAGAATCGGTCGATCGCCGACCGTCGAGGAGCGACGTGGATGGAAGACGGATTCCGACCATGCATGCATGATGCAGCTTTTCCGGTGCCGATATTGCTCATGGGGTGGGCCTTTTTCACTATTCTGACCCTTTGAATGAACTTTGTTATAAAATGAACTCGACGTGAAAATATTTCACGATCTGACCCTTTTAGCAACGCCACAGCCCGTGATGTTTCTGCCCAACATAGAAACGCCGAGATAGCTGGCGTTTCTGATAAAAAAAAAGAAACGCCGAGCTAGCTAGCGTTGCGGAACAGGTAAGAAACGCCGAAAGCACTGGCGTTGCTGCCCATCATTGAAACGCCAATGACCATGGTGTTGCTATCCTTTTTCATGTGCATGTAGAATGTGGATGAATATCCTAATTAATAAGGCTAATTAATTATGATCAAAGAGGGCAGTAACGCCATGGTTCCTTGGTGTTTCTATGATGGCTAGAAACGTCAGCGCCTTCGGCGTTTCTTATCTGGTCCGCAACGCTAGCTAGCTCGGCGTTTCTTTTTTGATCAGAAACGTTAGCTACCTCGGCGTTTCTACGCCGCGGGCTGTGGCGTTGCTAAAAGGGTCAGATCGTGAAATACTTTCACGTCGAGTTCATTTTGTGACAAAGTTCGTCCAAAGGGTCAGAATAGTGATTTCGGCCGATGGGGTGTCACAGCATCAGCCGGCGCGTCAAACACCTGTATGGCCCGATCTTATGAATATCACATCCAGATGATTGCCTCAACCGGGTCTCATAGGTCGAGGTTGGTCGACATCTCTCATATCCAGATTAAATGTAAGACACATATGGAGCGTTCGGACGTGTCCGCCACCTCTGACGACCCGACACATACTGAGCCACCCTATCCCACATATTTTCCTCCCCATCCGCTCTCCGGACCAAACTCTAACTATTTAACTTCACTCCCCTCCACTTCTCTCCATCACCTAAGCTCCGTCCGGCGATCTTCGGTCTTCTCCGGCATGGCAGGCAACAGATCCGGGTCCTACACCTCTAGATCCAATGACCCCGAGCTCATCCCACGCGCCCCCAAGGAGGAGATGACCATCTGGCTTGCGCTTCGCGGCTTCTGAAAGGAGGCCGCTCGACGGCAGCACTTGGACTCCTTGTGCCGGGAATCCATTGTGTCCGTCCAAATGGCGTGTGTATCCGCCGCAAGGTGTGTCGCCGCTTCCTCACCGGAGGCGGTGCGGTCCGTCTGGCGTCCGAACGCTGTGGCGGACGCGCAATCCCTTCATTGACACGCCGTGTAGGGGATGAACGCATGTGTGTCATCTAGCAAGAACATGGCGTGGCGTGCCCGCCGTGCGAGGCAGCGGGTGCGGGAAATGGAAACGGCCCTCGCCGCAGTGGACGTTGGAGAGGCGGAATCGCATTTTCCGGTGCCTTGACGGATGGCCTGCAACCCCGGGCGCCGCACCCGCGTTGTCGTGGATGTCGCCGGCTCCTGCCAGGACGGATCCATCATCGATCTCACGTCCATCGGCACCGTCAGGGTTCCGGACTCCGACGAGAAAGAGTGGGGCATGGAAGATGGCGGTGCCTTGAGTCCCATGAGCCAGGGCGTGTCTCATGTCCTATTTTACCTTGTCGGCAACAGGACTAACACTCTGAGGGGCGCAACCAGCCGCCGGACATGGGCACGGCGGAGAGGTTTACATTGGATGTAATAGTATGGAATTGAGGTTTCTAATTTAAGGTATCTGGTTGTGTTAACAATTATTTGAGGTGTGACCGCTCACTGTCCGCAAACGCGCCTGGACACGTCCATGAGCGTTTAAGGGATAGGATTTGCCAAGTCCGGCTGTAGATGCTCTCAGATTTCTAACGCTCGAGTTCCGCGCCGTCGCTGGAAGCCCAAACCGTCTTGATTCACCTGGTTACTATGCCATCTATTTCAAATTAATTGAAGTTTTAGATTAAGTCAAACTGTTTTTAAGTTTGAAAAATCTTATGGAAAAATATGATAGTGGCATCTTCAACGCTGACCCTCAAACCGCCAGCACATGTTCGAACCGTGTGGTCCGGATGTGGTGTGCCATCCAACGCGGGCCTCTATCGGTCTGCCGAGCAATCTAGACATGCTTTTTCTCGCAAACCAGAGACAAACTAGGGGGCTTTGCTGGCGTCCGGACCGCTACCACGTCTGCTCCTGACCACCCTGGCTCACAAAAACCCCTCCCTCTCCCACGCGCGCTTCCCGCTTGAAATGGTTAGCGCCACTCCAGAGCGTCAGTGCTGCATTCATGCCCAGCCAAAGGGAACATGACCTCTCATTGGCACCGGCATTGAAGCAGCGCACTGGCCCAGAGAGCGTCGGCCACGCCGCTTCCCAGTTCATGCGGTTGCTCTGCGTTCAAGCGACACCACAATTGGTCATCGGTCTGCTGCCTATATTAATGATACACGGTTGCCGAGGAACCCACTCCGACGCTACTCGCCCGTCCATCAGCCACCCACCAATGCTATTCGCATGCTATATAAACTGCAACTCCAGCCATAGCCGCAGTCATCGTCTCCGGTCCCTCTCTTCTCTTAACACCACTCCCACCATGGCCTCCTCACGCTCCAAAGCTCTCTGGGACAGACTGTTGCCGGAGCAGAAGAAGGAGATGGTTGCCACTACTGCCGGAGGCCGACGATGTCCCAATGGAGGACGTGGTCGTGGATGAGCCGGAGCCACCCTCCTCCCCGGCGCATTCTCCCCTGTGCATTGTGATACATCTCCAACGTATCTATAATTTTTGATTGTTTCATGCTATTATATTATCAATCATGGATGTTTTCTATGCATTTATATGCTATTTTATATCATTTTTTGCTACTAACCTATTAACCTAGTGCCCAGTGCCAGTTCTAGTTTTTTTGCTTGTTTTTGACTTTTCAGAAAATAGTACCAAACGAAATCCAAATGCGAAGAAACTTTACGATGATTTTTTTTTCTGGACTAGAAGGGACCCTAGAAGGTTCACGAGGAAGCCAAAAGAGCTACATGAGAGCCACGCGGCGCACTGATACGTCTCCAACGTATCTATAATTTTTTATTGCTCCATGCTATATTATCTACTGTTTTGGATGTTTATGGGCTTTATTATACACTTTTATATCATTTTCGGGACTAACCTATTAACCCAGAGCCTAGTGCCAGTTTATGTTTTTACCCTGTTTTAGGGTTTCGAAGAAAAGGAAAATCGAATGGAGTCCAATTGACCTGAAACTTCATGGAACTCATTTTTGGAAGGAAAGAAGCCCAGAAGACTTGGAGTGCACGCTAGGGGATCTTCGAGGAGGCCACGAGGTAGGGGGCGCGCCCACCCCCCTAGGGCGCGCCCTCCACCCTCGTGGGCCCCTCGTGGCCCCCCTGACGTACTTCTTCCGCCTATATATCTCCATATACCCTAAAAACATCGAAGAGCACAATAGATCGGGAGTTCCGCCACCAGAAGCCTCCGTAGCCACCAAAAACCAATCTAGACCCGTTCCGGCACACTGCCGGAGGGGGAATCCCTCTCCGGTGGCCATCTTCATCATCCCGGTGCTCTCCATGACGAGAAGGGAGTAGTTCTCCCTCGTGGCCGAGGGTATGTACCAGTAGCTATGTGTTTGATCTCTCTCTCTCTCTCTCTCGTGTTCTTGAGGTGGTACGATCTTGATGTATCGCGAGCTTTGCTATCATAGTTGGATCTTATGATGTTTTCTCCCCCCTCTACTCTCTTGTAATGGATTGAGTTTCCCCTTTGAAGTAATCTTATTGGATTGAGTCTTTAAAGCTTTGAGAACACTTGATGTATGTCTTGCCGTGCGTATCTGTGGTGACAATGGGATACCACATGATTCACTTGATGTATGTTTTGGTGATCAACTTGTGGGTTCCACCCATGAACCTATGCATAGGGGTTGGCACACGTTTTCGTCGTGATTCTCCGGTAGAAGCTTTGGGGCACTCTTTGAGGTTCTATGTGTTGGTTGAATAGATGAATCTGAGATTGTGTGACGCATATCGTATAATCGTACCCACGGATACTTGAGGTGACATTGGAGTATCTAGGTGACATTAGGGTTTTGGTTGATGTGTGTCTTAAGGTGTTATTCTAGTACGAACTCTAGGGCTGTTTGTGACACTTATAGGAATAGCCCAACGGATTGATTGGAAAGAATAACTTTGAGGTGGTTTCGTACCCTACCATAATCTCTTCGTTTGTTCTCCACTATTAGTGACTTTGGAGTGACTCTTTGTTGCATGTTGAGGGATAGTTATGTGATCCAATTATGTTGTTATTGTTGAGGGAACTTGCACTAGTGAAAGTATGAACCCTAGACCTTGTTTCCTAGCATTGCAATACCGTTTGTGCTCACTTTTATCATTAGTTACCTTGCTGTTTTTATATTTTCAGATTACAAATACTCATATCTACTATCCATATACCACTTGTATCACCATCTCTTCGCCGAACTAGTGCACCTATACAATTTACCATTGTATTGGGTGTGTTGGGGACACAAGAGACTCTTTGTTATTTGGTTGTAGGGTTGCTTGAGAGAGACCATCTTCATCCTACGCCTCCTACGGATTGATAAA